TATGAAGGCTCCCCAACACTGCAGCCTTCTGCATAACCCACAGTGTCAGAAGAGCTGTACTCCCGGTGGAGAACCCGGGCATTCTCCTGATCTGCGCCAAAAGATCAGGAGGTACCAAACCAAGGGCACCGAGAACAATGGGGAGCCTGACGACAGTGTACTTGGGATGCAAGCGAGACATTTCAAAGGCGAGGTCCGCATTTATTTATAATGCTTTTCCTTAATCTTGCCAATCACATTGGTGTCAAAAGGGACAGAAAATTCAATGATATAAATAAATTCATTGGCTTTATCAAAAAGGACAAGATCAGGTTTGTTAGCTGGAAGTCTTCTGAGGCTGTATATGGGCCTATTCCAGAGAAGTTTGAAAGCATCATTTTCCATGACGCCCTGGACATGTTCAGGGTCGTACCATGGATGGACCTCGGAGTCAAAACCACAGGCATGTCGGAGACGGTAGTAAAAGCAACGAGCCATGGCATCATGTCGTTTAAGATATGCTGTTTGTTATTATCATTATTATTATTATTATTCAAGCGTTATGTAATCTATAAACTGGTACAAGGTCATGGCGTGTGATATGACGGAAGACAATAGGGCAGGTGTATATCGGGCCTTGATGGAGGTAAATGTCGTATATTACAAAGCTCTTGTTAATCCCCAGGAACACTTTCACACCATGTTTCCCTGTAATTTTATCCCTTCTCCACATATAGATATCTCACGATGTATTATCACAGGGAGAATGTGAGTGTGCTGCTGTTGTGTCAGTCACGGCAGCTGTGGTCGGCGACTACGTCATGTTGACGTTCCTGGTAGTAGCGGCAGCGCTAATCACAGGTAAGTTCTCGTCTTATGAAATATGAGATAGTCTCGGGGGATTATATATACCTTAATTTGATCAATAACCCAGCGATTTCAACCAGGATGTTTATTTACATTCTTCATCAAGAGAGCTAAACATGGCGTACTTCTTGGACCAGAGGTGACATATGGGTAAACGTCTTTGTGTGGTATTATACAAATTGGGAAGTACCAAATATGGGGAAACTGACCAGCATGAACATACCTGACAGGGTCACAGGTCATAGGTCACAGGTTACAGGTACTGACAAACTTAAACCAATGTATCAATGAAATTTTAAAAGTTCAGTCAAAGTCTTTGACCAGTAGATTGACATATTCAACATAATTGCAAGACAATGCATTATAACAAGCATCCTAGAGACTTGAAATATTTATCAGATGAAAGGAAATGCGTGTAACCCTTGTCAGATATCTACGCAGTAATATATCCTTTGTATGTCCAATTTACATTATTTACGACACAGTTTCATTGATCAAGTCGTCTTCAAGTTGATAAAGAATCCTACTGGGGTTTATGGATTCTCCTTCTGGTGTTTGAGTTCGTGGACTTTTATTCTTCTGTGCTGTGGATGGTAGAATCCATTGAGTTTTATGCTTCCTTGTTCTGGGTGGTAGAATCCATTGAATTTTATACTTCCTTGTTCTGAGTAGCAGAATCCTTATATACGTCATTGTTCTGGGTGGTAGAATCATTTGAGTTTTATACTTCCCTAATCTCCGTGGTAGAATCCCTTGAGTTATATTCTTCCTTGTTCTGGGTGGTAGAATCCATTGAGTTTTATACTTCCCTAATCTCCGTGGTAGAGTCCTTTGAGTTATATTCTTCCTTGTTCTGGGTGGTAGAATCCTTTGAGTTTTATACTTCCCTATTCTCCGTGGTAGAATCCATTGGGTCTTATACTTCCTTGTTCTGGTTAGTGGAATCCATTGAGTTTTATATTTCCCTGTTCTGGGTGGTAGAATCCATTGAGTTATATACCTCCTTGCTTTCAGAATAAAATTTACACTTCTTTGTTTATTGCTAAAAGCGGCGTAAAACTAAACTCAGTCAGTCAGTCTGGGTGGTAGAATCCATTGAGTTTTATACTTCCTTGTTCTGGGTGGTAGAATCCATTGAGTTTTATACTTCCTTGTTCTGGGTGGTAGAATCCATTGAATTTTTTCCTTCTTTGTTCTGGGTAGTAGAATCCTTATATACGTCATTGTTCTGGGTTGTAGAATCCCTTGAATTTTATACTTCCTTGTTCTGGGTGGTAGAAACCTTTCAGTTATATACGTCCTTGTTCAGGGTGGTAGAATCCTTTGAGTTTTGTACTTCCCTATTCTCCGTGGTAGAATCCATTGGGTTTTATACTTCCCTGTTCTGGATGGTAACACTCCATTGAGTGTTATACGTCCTTGTTCTGGTTGGTGGAATCCATTGAGTTTTATATTTCCCTGTTCTCGGTGGTAGAATCCATTGAGTTATATACCTCCTTGCTTTCAGAATGAAATTTACACTTCTCTGTTTCGGTGATGAAGTTTACACTTTTTTGTTCAATGGATAAAGTTTTACGCTTCCTTGTTCTGGAGATAAAGTTTTACACTTACCCGTTCTGGGGATAAAGTTGTACTCTTCCTTGTTCTGGGGATAAAGTCGTACTCTTCCTTGTTCTGGGGATAAAGTCGTACTCTTCCTTGTTCTGGGGATAAAGTCGTACTCTTCCTTGTTCTGGGGATAAAGTCGTACCCTTCCTTGTTCTGGGGATAAAGTTGTACTCTTCCTTGTTCTGGGGATAAAGTTCTACTCTTCCTTGTTCTGGGGATAAAGTCGTACTCTTCCTTGTTCTGGGGATAAAGTTGTACTCTTCCTTGTTCTGGGGATAAAGTTGTACTCTTCCTTGTTCTGGGGATAAAGTCGTACTCTTCCTTGTTCTGGGGATAAAGTCGTACTCTTCCTTGTTCTGGGGATAAAGTTGTACTCTTCCTTGTTCTGGGGATAAAGTCGTACTCTTCCTTGTTCTGGGGATAAAGTCGTACTCTTCCTTGTTCTGGGGATAAAGTTCTACTCTTCCTTGTTCTGGGGATAAAGTTGTACTCTTCCTTGTTCTGGGGATAAAGTTGTACTCTTCCTTGTTCTGGGGATAAAGTTGTACTACTTCCTTGTTCTGTACTCTTCCTTGTTCTGGGGATAAAGTTGAGTTTCCTTTCCCTTGTTCTGGGGATAAAGTTGTACTCTTCCTTGTTCTGGGGATAAAGTCGTACTCTTTCCTTGTTCTGGGGATAAAGTCGTACTCTTCCTTGTTCTGGGGATAAAGTCGTACTCTTCCTTGTTCTCTCTTCCTTGTTCTTGTTCTGGGGATAAAGTTGTACTCTTCCTTGTTCTGGGGATAAAGTTCTACCCTTCCTTGTTCTGGGGATAAAGTCGTACTCTTCCTTGTTCTGGGGATAAAGTCGTACTCTTCCTTGTTCTGGGGATAAAGACGTACTCTTCCTTGTTCTGGGGATAAAGTTGTACTCTTCCTTGTTCTGGGGATAAAGTTGTCGTACTCTTCCTTGTTCTGGGGATAAAGTTGTACTCTTCCTTGTTCTGGGGATAAAGTTGTACTCTTCCTTGTTCTGGGGATAAAGTTGTACTCTTCCTTGTTCTGGGGATAAAGTCGTACTCTTCCTTGTTCTGGGGATAAAGTTGTACTCTTCCTTGTTCTGGGGATAAAGTTGTACTCTTCCTTGTTCTGGGGATAAAGTTGTACTCTTCCTTGTTCTGGGGATACTCTTCCTTGTTCTGGGGATAAAGTCCCTTGCTTGTTCTGGGGATAACTCTTCCTTGTTCTTAAAGTTGTACTCTTCCTTGTTCTGGGGATAAATTACTCTACCTTCCTTGTTCTGGGGATACTACTCTTCCTTGTTCTGGGGATAAAGTTGTACTCTTCCTTGTTCTGGGGATAAAGTTTTATACTTCCTTGTTCGTGAGTAAAGTTTTACTTTTCCCTTGATCTGAAGGTAAAGTTTAGACTTCTTGATCTGAAGGGATACAGTTTTATACTTCCTTGTCCTGGGGAATGATGTTTTACACTTCCTTTTACTTTTTGTCCTGGGGGTGTAGAATCCATTGAGTTTTATACGTCCTTGTTCTGGGTGGTAGAATCCATTGAGTTTTATACGTCCTTGTTCTGGGTGGTAGAATCCATTGAGTTTTATACGTCCTTGTTCTGGGTGGTAGAATCCATTGAGTTTTATACTTCCTTGTTCTGGGTGGTAGAATCCATTGAGTCTTATACTTCCTTGTTCTGGGTGGTAGAATCCATTGAGTTTTATACTTCCTTGTTCTGGGTGGTAGAATCCATTGAGTTTTATACTTCCTTGTTCTGGGTGGTAGAATCCATTGAGTCTTATACGTCCTTGTTCTGGGTGGTAGAATCCATTTGAGTTTTATACTTCCTTGTTCTGGGTGGTAGAATCCATTGAGTTTTATACTTCCTTGTTCTGGGTGGTAGAATCCATTGAGTTTTATACTTCCTTGTTCTGGGTGGTAGAATCCATTGAGTTTTATACTTCCTTGTTCTGGGTGGTAGAATCCATTGAGCTTTATACTTCCTTGTTCTGGGTGGTAGAATCCATTGAGTTTTATACTTCCTTGTTCTGGGTGGTAGAATCCATTGAGTTTTATACTTCCTTGTTCTGGGTGGTAGAATCCATTGAGTTTTATACTTCCTTGTTCTGGGTGGTAGAATCCATATTGAGTTTTGTACTTCCTTGTTCTGGGTGGTAGAATCCATTGAGTTTATACGTCCTTGTTCTGGGTGGTAGAATTCATTGAGTCTTATACTTCCTTGTTCTTAGGAATACTTCCTTGTTCTGGGTGGTAGAATTCATTGAGTCTTTTACTTCCTTGTTCTTTACGAATTCTACTTCCTTGTTCTTGGAATAAAGTTAAAGGCTTTCTTGTTTACTGTGGTTGATGGTGATGAAAAGGGTTTAAAGCGTCTTATGTGACTTGCACTTGCTAGTCATGAAGAATGAGGATCGGAGCGTGTTCACTGATGATATTACATCGCTGCACTATCGGAATTGTAGAATGTGTAGGTGAAGACGTCAAAGAAACACACATAACCTACCGCGTCACGTGATCTGTCATTACAGTTGACAGAGCGATGGAGTGCCGCGGCGTCTGTGTCGCCGTCACGGAGGGACGGCCGTTGCTGCTGGACTGTTCTGAGAATATGACCTCTGTTGAAAACATGACCTTCACCTGGGAAGACAATGCTGACTCAAAAAAGTACTTCCGGTATTGGCAGGAGTCCACCAGAAGCCTTGCTAGAACCTACACGTGTAAGGTTGGAGGCGTGGAAGCTGTTGTGTTCATAGTGACAGTTGAGTGTAAGTATAAAAGTCTCCCCTCTTCTTCTCAGACTTGAGTGAGAGGATATTTTTCACCGCTGTTAGGCATATTCCAGCAATCTCACGGCGGGGGAAACATGGAAATGGGCTTTACACATGAAACTACACGAAGTGTCCCAAACCCTGTCAAGTCAGTACTCGTGTTTGGAAACTGCGTTCAACATACTCGTGAAGATCCGGGCTATAATTAGTCTTCCCCGATCACCAACCCATGTTTGTCGTAAGAGGCGACTTACGGGATTTGGCTGACAGTGCCATCGCATCCTCCTAATTGCGAAGATCGATGCGAATGCTGTTGATTACTGGATTGTCTGGTCCAGACTTGATTATCTACAGACCACCGCCATATAGCTTGGATAAAGCTGAGATAAACATCAGGCAAATAAAATAAAAAAACTTTTGGAAAAAAAACATTTATTGGTTTTGCCCATGTGTCAGGAGGGTGTGAAAGATTTATGTTTTACGCCGCAGGGATGACAGATTCAGTTGTACTGCCATGTTTCAGTTGATGCTGGATGTCTGTGGAGCTCCACCAGCATCAGAGTGATCCAGACAAACACGTGACCGCACTCTAGTTGAGTGGTCCATAAAAACACGTGGCCATAATCTGGTTGAGAGGTCCAGACAGACATGTGGCCATGATCTGGTGGAGTGGTCCAGACAGACACGTGGTCATGATCTGGTTGAGTGGTCCAGGCAGACACGTGGTCATGATCTTGTGGAGTGGTCCAGGCAGACACGTGGTCATGATCTTGTGGAGTGGTCCAGACAGACACGTGGCCATGATCTGGCGGAGTGGTCCAGATATGTGGCCATGATCTGGTGGAGTGGTCCAGATAGACACGTGGCCATGATCTGGTGGAGCGGTCCAGACAGACACGTGGCCATGATCTGGCGGAGTGGTCCAGACAGACACGTGGTCATGATCTTGTGAAATAGTCCAGATATGTGGTCATGATCTGGTGGACTGGTCGAGGCAGACACATGGTCATGATCTTGTGGAGTGGTCCAGATATGTGGCCATGATCTGGTGGAGTGATCCAGACAGACACGTGGCCATGATCTGGCGGAGTGGTCCAGACAGACACGTGGTCATAATCTGGTGGAGTGGTCCATACAGACACGTGGCCATGATCTGGTGGAGTGGTCCAGACAGACACGTGGCCATGATCTGGTGGAGTGGTCCAGACAGACACGTGGCCATGATCTGGCGGAGTGGTCGATACGGACACGTGGCCATGATCTGGTGGAGTGGTCCAGATATGTGGCAATGATCTGGTGGAGTGGTCGAGACAGACACGTGGCCATGATCTGGCGGAGTGGTCCAGACAGACACGTGGTCATGATCTTGTGGAGCGGTCCAGATATGTGGCCATGATCTGACGGTGTGGTCCAGAAAGACACGTGGCCATGATCTGGTGGAGTGGTCCGGATATGTGGCCATGATCTGGAGGTGTGGTCCAGACAGACACGTGGTCATCATCTTGTGGAGTGGTCCAGATATGTGGCCATGATCTGGTGGAGTGGTCCAGACAGACACGTGGTCATGATCTGGTGGAGTGGTCCAGACAGACACGTGGCCATGATCTGGCGGAGTGGTCCAGACAGACACGTGGTGATGATCTGGTGGAGTGGTCCAGACAGATATGTGGCCATGATCTGGTGGAGTGGTCCAGACAGACACGTGGTGATGATCTGGTGGAGTGGTCCAGACAGACACGTGGTGATGATCTGGCGGATGGGTTGATACAGACACGTTGCCATGATTTGGTGGAGTGGTCCAGACAGACACGTGGCCATGATCTTGTGAAGTGGTCCAGAAATACACGTGGTCATGATCTGATGGAGTTGTCCATACAGACCCGTGGTCATGATGTCCAGTTACGTGTCCATGATCTGTTGGAGCTGGGAAGGCAGACACGTGATCATAATCTGGTAGATTGGTCCATACAGACACGGGGCCATGATCTGGTTGAGTGGTCCAGACAGACACGTGGTCATGATCTTGTGGAATGGTCCACACAGACACGTGGCCATGATCTTGTGGAATGGTCCACACAGACACGTGGCCATGATCTGGCGGAGTGGTCGAGACAGACACGTGGCCATGATCTGGTGGAGTGGTCCATACAGACACGTGGCCATGATCTGGTGAGTGGTCCATACAGACACGTGGCCATGATCTGGTGGAGTGGTACATACAGACACGTTGCCATTATCTGTTGGGGTGGTCCAGACAGACACGTGGCCATGATCTGGTGGAATGGTCCATACAGACACGTGGTCATGATCTGGTGGAGTTTTCCAGACAGACACGTGGCCATGATCTGTTGGAGTTGCTCAGACAAACACGTGACCATAATCTGATGGAGTGGTGACGGCAGACACGTGGTCATGATCTGGTGGAATGGTCCAGACAAACACGTGACCATAATCATCTTGAGCGGTGCAGATAATCAAGTGGGCATAGTCTGGTTGGAAAAGGACCCAGTGTTACAGAGATAATGCTGCGACATGTCATCCATCGTGAGTTTTGTTATAGTGAACATTTCAATTATTTCCTTCAGATCTGGATAACCTGGAGCTGGACGTGACCCCCTCTGACACCTGCAACGTCAACAACGTCACAGCAACATGTGCGGTGGACAGCAACGCGGAGACGACTTTGACCATCCACAGAGAAGACACAAACGAGACATACACCAGTCAGGGTCAGAATATGTCCCGCCAGCTCGAGGTCCAGTGTGGTCAGACTGTCCGGGTCCGATGTACAGCCACTTCCGGTCAAACAAGCAGAGTGCAGTTCAGGCAACTCAATGTCCTGTGTGAGTGTCCTTACTTTTCATGAGATGTACTATATGGATATCTAGTCTTCCAAGGGACGGTGGAGTAGTCTTTAGGTTAAAGCTGTCGCTCGTCACACCGATGGCCCGGGTTCGATTCCCCAAAAGGGTACAATGTGTGAAGCCCATTTCTGTTGTCCCCCCGCCACCGTCAAATTGTAGGAACATTGCTAAAAGCGGCGTAAAACCATACTCACTAACCCTAGTCTTTCATATGTCCAGTTTATTTCCCTGGGGAAAGAGGTTCGGGGAACACACTGTCTCATGTGTCGTAAACTGTACAGGTGCCCCAGATCCTCCAGGTCCACACCCCGGGGAACACACTGTCTCATGTGTCGTAAACTGTACAGGTGCCCCAGATCCTCCAGGTCCACACCCCGGGGAACACACTGTCTCATCTCGTAAAAGGTGTGTCGTAAACTGTACAGGTGCAGATCCCAGGATCCTCCAGGTCCAGGTGCCCCACCTCCAGGTCCACACCGGGGAACACACTGTCTCATGTGTCGTAAACTGTGTCCACACCTCGGGGAACACACTGTGCCCCAGATCCTCCAGGTCTCCACACCTCAGGGGAACACACTGTCTCATGTGTCGTAAACTGTACAGGTGCTCCAGGTCCACACCTCGGGGAACACAGATCCAGGTGCCCAACTCATTGTCGGGGAACAACGTCTCATGTGAACGTCCCAGATCCTCTGGTCCACACCTTCTGTCTCACGCTAACCCTGTACAGGCTCCCCGTGTATACGATCCTCCAGATCCACAACGAGGACGACGACGAGGACGACGACGATGTACAGCGTTAATGTCAGCAACGTCTGCGGTAGCAGCAAGTTTAATCTTCATGTCATCGGTAACAGATTTCACAAATCCCCTTTGTTTCCTTTTCATAATTCGAGTTAACACGATTTACGTTGGTTATATTTGCAACTTGATCCAATCAGGGTACTTTTAGCATCAAATTCAAAATCTAGAATAGTGATAACTACCACCACACGAAGGAACTGTATTTCCCATATTTGACCATGCTAGGAAATAGACGTATGATCCGATGCCCAACCGAGGTCTTTTGAAATGTGCATGTCATTTGTCCGCAAAATTTGTATTTGTTACCCAGGTCATGAAATATAATATTTAGAATATTATGATAAAATATGACAGAGGTGTGTAAATATGGCCATCGTTTTCATATATTTACAACGTAAAACAACTGTAAATGTTCATTGAGAGCACAGGTTTACATATCCTTGAAACAGCGTAGTACGAGGTTTAGATTTATTTTATAAATTATTTCGTACTCTCCTAAATGCTCGGTCAAAGGTAAATGTCTTCTGACCATATTGACAGAAATTAACCTTTATTTCAATGGTTCGTTAATACAGTATTGTTAAAAAACCAGCAGTAACCTTTTCAGAGGTGGAATTTGTAACATATGGGGAGGGGATCCACGTCGCCATAGACAGACGTTTTTTATTTATTTATTTAATTATTTCCGTCTCCATCAACTGTACCTACAGTGGTTATGCCGGGTGTATATTGCACGTAATCAACATGACATACATCTATTGGATTGCAATAGAAGATGTGTTGCTAATTCAACGTATGTCATTAGCCACATCATTCTTGATATACATCTTGGATATACTTGTCATATTTTCACTTTTCCTGTTCGTTTGATTTTCAAACTCGGTTGCTTAAACTCACGCTAAACGCAGGTGTTGAACAATTGCCAGTGCAGAGAATACGTATACTGACATATAAATCACATATTGGTCTACACTACTGCTGCAAGCACCATTACGTGGCATGATAACGTTTCATGTTTATATCGGGAAATTCAAAACTGTTTCAAAACAGCTTCCGATTTATTTTAACACCGTTTGTAGCTGTTCGTGAAGCTATTCGTGTAGCTAGTTACCGCAATTTCTGCCTTGACCTGTAGTTGAATATTTGACTGAGTAAAATGAAGATAGGCTTGGCGTTATCCTGTTATCTTGGAAATAAATTGTTATCCTTGTTCGTGAAATGTCACACAACTTAATCCTTCATCAATCATGGTTAATGTTTTATAATGCTTGCACTCTAAGCTGATCGATATGTGTTTATGCTGTCTGTAGAAAGGATTAAGTTGTGTGACATTTCACGAACAAGGATTTACTCAGTTTAAATAATAACTCACTCACTCACTCAAAGGCCACCATCATGCTTCACTATATCGCATATTAGTGAGTGAGTGAGTGAGTTATTATTTAACGTCACATCGGCAATATTTCAGCCATATCGTGACATATCGCATATTAGAGCGTCCGTGTACATAAATGTTGGCTACGTTTGTGTGATCTCTTATTTGGCAATAATGTCAACGCGTAGTTGTGGGTGACTGGGGAACTAGCTCTTAACTGAGACGAACAATACGCTGACAAAGACGAAGGATAAGTTGAGTTCAAACTTCTTTAGTTACTTACACAAGACATGCCATATACAAGAATGAGGTGAGCGGAGTTCCAGCTCAACCCCAGGGCGTTTCCAGCATTATCCTGCTGGCGGTCGGCCCTACACAGACAGTCGGAATACCGGACTGCTTGACAATATAGATGTGAGCATATGTACAATTTTTGACAACAATGGACAGACAAAGACTCAACAATGGACAGGCGAAGACTCAACAATGGACAGACAGAGAAACAATAGCAATTCCTTGACCCAGTTGATGTGATGGCAGACACGGCCAAAGGGGGATGACCAAATAAGGCAATAAATGTCACATACAGTAATTAATGAAAGTGACAGAGTGGTATAGGGTGGCTGACAAGACAATGTATACTGCGGTAGGGATTAAGAATGCAGATTAAATAATTACAATTAAGTGTTACATGGCTTGGCTACATAGTTTTTGGTCGATGGCTGTCCTGAATTAGACGCTATGACAATATATTCTCCAATTAATACAATGAGGTAGTGGAAACATAAAGGATGGCAGGTATCCGTTCACGATGTTAATACATTGATACTTGTCCGCGAGATAAACAGCTCACTTGCAAACAAACATAACTCGTCCGACAATCCCCAAATCTATAGAAAACCATTGTAAATGATGAATACAGTACTGATAATCCCCCCAAACTATACAAAACCATTGTAAATGATGAATACAGTACTGATAATCTCCCCAAACTATACAAAACCATTGTAAATAATGAATACAGTACTGATAATCCCCCAAACTATACAAAACCATTGTAAATGATGAATACAGTACTGATAATACCCAAAAACTATAGAACACCATTGTAAATGATGAATACTGTACTGATAATCACCCCAAACTATACAAAACCATTGTAAATGCTGAAAAAAGTACTGATAATCCCCCCAAGCAATGAAAACCATTGTAAATGATGAATACAGTACTGATAATCTCTCAAAACTATCCAAAAACATTTCTATGATGATGAATACTGATTAATCCCCAAACTAAAAAACCATTGTAAATGATGAATACAGTACTGATAATCCCCAAAACTATACAAAACCATTGTAAATGATGAATACAGTACTGATAATGCCCCAAAGCTATAGAAAACCATTGTAAATGATGAATACAGACCTGATAATCCACCCAAACTATAGAAAACCAATGTAAATGATGAATACAGCACTGCTAATTCACCGAAACTATAGAAAACCATTGTTAATGATGAATACAGTACTGATAATCCCCCCAAACTATACAAAACCATTGTAAATGATGAATACAGTACTGATAATACCCCCAAACTATACAAAACCATTGTAAATGATGAATACAGTACTGATAGTCCCCAAACTATAGAAAACCATTTGTAAATGATGAATACAGGTACTGATAATCCCCGAAACTATAGAAAACCATTGTAAATGATGAATACAGTGCTGATAATCCCCCAAACTATACAAAACCATTGTAAATGATGAATACAGTACTGATAATCTCCCCAAACTATAAAAAAACACATCGTAAATGATAAATACAGTACTGATAATCTCCCAAGAGCCACTATACAATGCAGTGCTGAACAAACTATACTAAGCCATGATGATGGATACAGTGCTGACAATCCCCCAAGCTATGGGAAAACCATTTGTAAATGATGAATACAGTGCTGATAATCCCCAAAACTATACAAAGCCATTGTAAATGATGAATACAGGTGCTGATAATCCCCAAAGCTATGCAAGACCATTGTAAATGATGAATACAGTGCTGATAATCCCCCAGAACTATACAAAGACCATTGTAAATGATGGATACAGTGCTGATAATCCCCAGAGCTATAGAACACCATTGTAAATGATGAGATACGGTGCTGATAATCCCCAAACTATACAAACCATTGTAAATGATGAATACAGTGCTGATAATCCCCAGGCTATAAAAAGCCATTGTGTAAATGATGGATACAGTACTGATGATAATCCCCAAGGCTATACAAAACCATGTAAATGATGGATACAGTGCTGATAATCCCCAAAACTATACAAAACCATTGTGTAAATGATGGATACGGTGCTGATAATCCCCAAACTATATAAAGACACACGTTGTAAATGATGGATACAGTGCTGATAATCCCCAAACTATAGAAAACCATTGTAAATGATGGATACAGTGCTGATAATCCCCAAAACTATACAAAGGCCATTGTGAAATGATGGATACAGTACTGATAATCCCTCCAGAGCTATACAAAACCATTGTGATGATGGATACAGTGCTGATAATCCCCAAAACTATACAAAGACCATTTGTAAATGATGGATACAGTGCTGATGATCCACCAGACTATAGAAAGACCATTTGTAGATGATGGATACAGTGCTGATAATCCACAAAGCTATACAAAACCATTGTAAATGATGGATACAGTGCTGATAATCCCCCAAGACTATAGAAAACCATTGTAAATGATGGATACGGTGCTGATGATCCCCCCAAACTATGCAAAACCATTGTGAATGATGGATACGGTGCTGATAATCCCCAAAGGCTATACCAAGAGCCATTGTAAAAGATGATGGATACAGTGCTGATGATGATCCCCCAAACTATAGAAGACCATTGTAGATGATGGATGCAGTGCTGATGATCCCCCTGGAGCTATGAAACCATTGTAGATGATGGATACAGTACTGATGATCCCCAGAATATACGGTGCTGATGAAAGTCCCCAGACTATATGTTGTAGTGATGAATGCAGTGCTGATGATCCCCGAAGGCTATACAAAACCATTGTGTAAATGATGGATACAGTGCTGATGATCCCCAAACTATAGAAGACCATTGTGAAATGATGAATACAGTGCTGATAATCCCCCAGGAACTATAGAAACCATTGTAAATGATGGATACAGTGCTGATATCTCCCCCAAACTATGACAGTGCTGATAAGACCATTGTACCATTGTAAATGATGGATACAGTGCTGATGATCCCCAAAACTATAGAAAACCATTGTGTGAAATGATGAATACAGTGCTGATAATCCCCAAAGACTATACAAAAACCATTGTAAATGATGGATACGGTGCTGATAATCCCCAGGCTATACCAAAACCATTGTGAAATGATGGATACGGTGCTGATGATCCCCAAACTATGCAAACCATTGTAGATGATGGATACGGTGCTGATGATCCCCAAACTATAGAAACCATTGTAAATGATGGATACAGTGCTGATGATCCCCAAACTATAGAAAACCATTGTAAATGATGGATACAGTGCTGATGATCCCCCAAGAGCTATAGAAACCACCGTTGTAGATGA